AGTGGGCTTTCTTGTTGTTTTGTTGATGGTTTCTTTTGCTGTGCAGAAGCTTTTTATTTTGATGTAGTCCCATTTGTTTATTTTCTCTTTAGTTTCCATTGCCCTAGGAGCTGTATCGGTGAAGATATTCTTTGGCATATGTCTGAAAATACAGCCCAGTGAATGAACAAACACGACCTATAATAACAATTTCTCTTCCATTATGGAATGGGCAACTGTGATCATGGTTAAGTTTATTCCTAAGTATCTTAATTTTTTTGTTGCAATGGTAAATAGAATTATTTGTTTAGTTTCTCTTTCTGAAAATTCATTATTGGTGTATAAAAATGCCATAGATTTCTGGGTGTTAATTTTGTATCCTGCTACACTGCCAAATTCATTAAATCTAGTAAGTTTTCTAATGGAGTCTTTAAGGTTTTCTATGTACAATATTATGTCATCTGAAAATAATGACAGTTTTACTTTCTCCTTTCCAATTTGAATGCCTTTTATTTCTTCTTCTTGTCTGATCACTGCGGCTAGGACTTCTAGTACTATGTTGAATAAGGGTGGTGAAAGTAGACATCTCTGTCTGTTTCTTGTTCTTAGGGGAAAAGGTTTTAGTTTTTGCCCATTGAGTATGTTGGCTGTAGGTTTGTCATATATGGCCTTAATTATGTTGAGATATGATCCCTCTAATTCCCACTTTGCTGAGAGTTTTTATCAAAAATGGGTGTTGGCCCTAGCAGGTTTGGCTCAGTGGATAGAGCATCAGCCTTCAGACTGAAGTGTCCCAGGTTTGATTCCGGTCAAGGGCACATGCCCCGGTGGCAGGCTTGATCCCCAGTAGGGAACATGCCAGAGGCAGCCGATCAATGATTTTCTCTCATCATTGATGTTTCTATCTCTCTCTACCTCTCCCTTCCTCTCTGATCAATAAAAATATATTTTTTAAAAAATGGGTGTTGGATTTTGTGAAATGTTTATTCTGCATCTATTTTATATGATCATGTGATTTTTGTCTTTCAATTTGTTTGTATGATGTATCATGTTTATTGACTTGTGAATATTGTACCAGCCTTGCATCCCTGAATAAATCCCACTTGTTCGTGGGATTTATTGCTGGGTCAGATTTGCTAATAGTTTGTTGAGGATTTTAGCATCTATGTTCATCAGGGATATTAGCCTGTAATACTTTCTTTGTAGTGTCTTTATCTGGTTTTGGAATTAGGATAATGCTGGCCTCATAAAAAGAGCTTGGAAGTATTCCTTCCTCTTGGATTTTTTGAAATAGTTTAAGAAGTATAGGTATTAGTTCTTCTTTGAATGTTTGGTAAAACTCCCCTGTGAAGCCGCCTGGACTAGGGCTTTTGTTTGCTGGGAGTTTTTGTGTGTGCGTGTTTTTGTTTTTTTGTGAGGGGTTTTTTACTGCTTCTATTTTATCAGTTGTTATTTGCCAACCTTAGATGTTTCAATGCATGACTCTCTCAGATGTATTTGTGCATTGAGCAGGGAACCCTTTGTTGAGATATGGCTGTACAGATTGTTGTAACTTCTAGGGGAGACACCAAGGGAATCTCTCATGCCACCATTCCTCGGATGTTATTCTCCATTCTAATCACTCTTAAATTTACATTTCCAGTTAATATGTCTCATTAGAGTAATAGTCAATTTAAGAAGACCACTCAGAGATTTTGACATGTTCCTGATTTCAGGAAATGTATCGAACCCATGCCTGAAACAGTTTAGAAAAAGCAAAGGATGTAGATGGAGCTTCTCAAACACATGGCAGAACAAAATAAGGGAGGTTATGTTGGAAATGGAGGGTGGGGAGGAGCAAAGATGCCTGCTTTCTAGGGATCCTTTGAGAGAAGCCATGCTGGTGCCATTTTAAAAACTCCAAATGAAGGGACCTCACCAGACAAATTTCAAGGGATATAGGAAGACAAGCAATGACTCCACCAAAAGAGTTGTAGTCAAGGTTCTCAGCAGAAGGGTCTCTGAAAATACACACAGAAAAAGTCCATGGTAAAGAGCCAACAACTGTGCATTTACCTGGTTCTGATGGACCAATCCCAGATGATCTTCTTGCCCTTCCTTGTGAGACCGTGTTCTTTTATCCTGTCTCCTGTACCCCTGACCCTCCTTTGGTGAAGGAGAGGTAATAGTACCATCATGCTCTCTCCACCAGTGGAGGCTTCCACCACTGGGGAGGGGGTAAGTCTATAAAGTTGGAGTCTGGGACATTACAATGAACTGAATTTTTAATGACTGGCATGAGAATGTTCTTGTCACTATATAGGACTAGGAAAGTAATAGAGCTTGCCTAAGATTTTATTGGGATAGAAGAACAGTCACAGGGTGAATTTAATAAGGAGTAATGAGAAAAAATAAAGTTTGGGTTCAGATCCTTCAGTAAAATCAGTCACATCTGTTAGAATTCCATGAGTTCAATGAAAACAGAGTAAGTAAATCTCTTCTTTCTAAGGGGAACAATGAAGAAAGCACAACTCTGTACTTAACACTGAGTGCCAAAGAAGCACATTCAGTCCTGGTCTAACGTTTCTATGAAGATTCTGATGGCCTACCTTATGACACCAGTACAGGTATAGTTCATACCCTTCCCGAATCAACAAAAATCCAAGTATCTGAAAAAGAAAGTACAAAAAAGGAGGTTATTTTGAAATCACCAAGTTGGGGCTCACAGCACTGTTCTGTATTCAAATGCCTTTTCACTACATTCACTTCTTGCTATACTTGCACTGTTCAAACCCTGGGAGCTTGCCATGCTGCCCCTCTGCCTGAAAATCTCTCCCTCCCACGCCACTGACCTTTCAAACCAGTTCACATGCCACCTCCTATTCATAACTCTTACCAGCACCCTCAGGAAGAATTTTTTTCTGGAATTCATAATAAACCACCACACTGATATCCTTCCGAGTTCCCACCAATTTCTTACCCCTGGGATAGACCTTATTCCTGGTATTACTCAGACCCACTTAGGAGAGAACAGAGGTCAGAGGCCAGCCCTTCCCAGCATCATTTAAAAGCTTTCTTGAGCCCTAACCGGTTTGGCTCAGTGGATAGAGCGTCAGCCTGCAGACTCAAGGGTCCCAGGTTCGATTCCAGTCAAGAGCATGTACCTTGGTTGTGGGCACATCCCCAGTAGGGGGTGTGCAGGAGGCAGCTGATCAATGTTTCTCTCTCATTGATGTTTCTTTTTTTTTTTTTTTTTACATTTTTATTGATTTTAGAGAGGAAGGGAGAGGGATAGAGAGATAGAAACATCAATGATGAGAGAGAATCATTGATTGGCTGCCTCCTGCA